CAACTTTATAATACGAACTCTCAAAGGACGTCAAATATGCTTTCGAACGTTTTTAAATGTTTCATGCTTATTTCGCTTCCCAAGAAACACGAAAGGTTTATTTATAATAGGACATTACCCGAAATGAAAGTTGAGTTGAAATGCTGAAATTGAAATTGTTAATTTTTGTGGAAAATGGCAATTTGTTTTCATATATAAATTTGATCAGCCATGTTTCTCGATTTTGTTACTCATTTTTAAAGCGTGCGCCACATTCAACATGTATCTCACGTAATAGTACATGAAATTTTTTGGGCTGTATATCAAAATCCAAGTTAGTCTTTCCTCAATACAATAAAACGTATTTGTGTGTAATAGCTTTTATAGTTTTTACCTTACATGAAATCAAACACCGCAAGCTTTTTTTTGGGACACCCGGTACTATAAAAGCTTTTAAAGTACTAAAAGAATATTACGAAATTAGAATATTTATTATACGTTGAAGAAGCATGCATGCGTATAAACATCTCGTGTCTCACATGAAAAATATTAAGATATATTACTAATATTATGGACCGGTCATAAAGTAACTGCTAGGGTGGGCCGGAGTGATTTGGGATGGGCCATGGAAAATCTTTGGGCAGTTTGGATGGGCCGCCAATTATTTTGTATGTCTACGGTTGGGCCACCAAACAAAAACCCATATCTACTTTCACCCACGGGCGTAGGAAGCCAGGGGGGGGGGCCTCGGCGCCAACCATGGTGGTGCCTAGTGGGAGTCATCCCCCTAACTTTTACAAGCTTCCCTGTTTTCATCACTTATGATAAATATAATAGCAAATAAGATTTTAAAATCAAACATAATACAAATCTAACTGGGCTGTACATTGCACAGAGGGCAGCAGGGGCAATTGGCCCCACCGAGAAAGTTTAACTAATTTTATAATGTGATTATGCTTGTAACGGATAATTATGCAGTCAGGAAATAAAAATTTCATGCAAGCAATTAGTGTCTATACAGCCGGCTATTTAGTAAATTGTCACTTGTCAATCCATACTCATCGAATTTTCAAAACTTTATTGTTATCATTTGAAGCAAAAGTTCTGTCAGTTGTTGTTTACACTTGCCAATGTTAACTGTTGAGTAACATACACACTATTCGAGGAACATGCATTACTGTAGCAAAGAGTCAATGAGTCAATCATCTATCGAAGACCACTGAATAGGAGAGAATGTTTTGAAGGTCATGAGTGAAGTATATAATTCCATTCCAACCCTGTGCACAGTTAATGATATACCACACTGTTCGGTTTAATTAACTCGGCATATATCCACACAAAAACAATTGGTGTTGTGGGAGAATATCTGTTTGAGTAGAAGGTATCACAAGTTTAGTTTTGTACATTGTGTGCCATTGATCTGATCCATCCATATAATATATGATTATTGTAGCTGTTAAGTTATTTTCGATACTGATGAATATAAGTAAGATTGTCTTGCAAGTGGGTTGTTCTGACAAAATTATCCAGCCAATATCCAGTAGATCAGTACATGTATTCATCATTCTTGTATTAATCTCTAAACAAAAACATTTATATTAGAAAGCAAAATGACAATGTAATGAGGAGGGAGGGTAGGGATTCTTTTATTAGCATTTGAAAATGGTTGTAACAATTTTGATTAATTAACTATTGTGTAAAACCAAAATGTATATAAAGTATAATTTTAACTGATGACATCTTTACCTTTGCTCTAACACTACATTTGATGACAACTTAGTTGGACTGTTGTTTTGAACTGTTGTTTTGAACAGAGTTACAGAAATACAGGATCAGGATTTAATTCAATATCTCCTGAGAACATTAGTTTCTTGTGATATTGTTAATTGGCAATTATGCCTGCAGCCAGAGTTTTGACTGTTTAAAATATTACACAATGATTGTTTTTATACTGTATAAATGTATATAATAAAATGTGGTATTTGGCTACTTACTAGATGAGGATAAGTTTCCATGTTGATAGATAACTTTGGAATAATATCACAAGTAGAATGGTGAAAACAAGACAGCTAGCCAATTCAAGATAAAATCAAGATATTTTTGAAGCCAAAATATGGCAAAGAATAACACGAGTACACAACTTACACCAGACCAAACTATGCCCGTTTGCAGGTTATGTGCTGATGATGTAAACATTGAACTATAAATAACAAACTATTATTAACTATTATTAGTAGTTATTTATAATTCAATGGATGTAAACAATTGACGTAAGCTACCTAATCGCTGATTGCGAGTGATTGGCTTAATTATACAAGCTCGTCGCTGAATGGCTATGGGTATAAACGTTAATACTAATCTGCTTCGCAGATACAAAAATAAAGATATACACCTGCACTGTATTGATATATGTTCATACCTGGAAGTTTTTTTCATTATAAAAGTGTATTTTCCCAATTTAGATTGGGTGGGTGGGTCATGAAATAAATTTGGTAAGATTGGATGGGCTTTGAAATTTTTATCTACATCCTAAGATGGGTCACCAAACTTATTGGCAAAATTTGTGATTTACCTCCAGCTCACCCTAGCAGTTACTTTATGACCAGTCCCTTATAGCAGAAAGCAGTTTATGTCACGATAAAATTTTCTGCATGCATGCCCAGTAAATTGTTTTAACAGCTTTTTGAGTTTTTGAACAATGTCAAGCAGCAAGAATGCACACATGACTCAAAGACCCATGTCACCCATTTCAACATTGGTTTAAATTTGTTTACTATATGAGGGCAAAACTAGTCCAGATGGCATGTGAATGTTATTGGATGATCATTATTGTTTAAATAAAAAAGTAGTGAAATCAAATGAAGTCTTTATAAGGTATATATAAACCGGTACTTATGTTTTACCTTAAAGCTATTGTTAAGTACTTTGAGAGGATTGAGTTGTTTGGGTGCTATGGAGCATAGGCACAGAATAGAGAGAAACAGAAGATTGACTTCTTGGTATTTCCTACGATTTCGGCGTAACCGTAATTCGTCATCAAAATGCTGACGCCAATGGTCCTAGCCAGTGCGCTTATGAGAGGCATTCACCCCCCTTATAAAATTCAAAATGGTGGACATCCATTGGGTAAATTCCTCTCATACACCACTGGCTAGGACAATGACATTTCAGCATTTTGATGACAAATCATGGCGTGGCATGAGTGGTTACGTTTTTGACTTAGTCGTCCTTCTTGTATCTTCATTCTGTGGTATGGGCCTACTATTGTTTATTTATTTATTTAGCTTTGCCAACTAGGGCAGGGTCACCACAACAGCATATGCCAATTACTGTGGGCCCTTTTTTACCTAACCCACCCTGTCAACTTTCCCTGTGGGAGGAAACCGGAGTACCCGGGGAAAACCCACGGCTTTCGGCAGAGCGTTGACTTTTACTCTTTTCACATGGGGACTGGGTTCGAGTCGCACTGAGAAGGTACTTAGTGAGACTCGAACCTGCAGCCTCAGAGGTGAAAGGCAAGTGCGCTAACCACTTGGCCACCAAAGCCCCTGACCACTTGTGCCACCACTAACCACTTGTGCCACCTACAGTAAATAATGTCAAACATCTGCTGATCTGGGAATTCTATTGGAAACTCTGCTTGTTTCATATTTTTCTAGGAGTGGGAATTCAAGATCAACTGAAGATCACAGGTTGTCTTTAGACCAATCTGAAGGTAGTGCTGAAGACAGTGAAAACAAGAAAAATAAATCACTAAAAACAAATCATGAGGAAACAGTACTGGACATTAACGAAAACTCTTGTAAAAAAGAAAAGAAGAAACGTAAAAAACATGATGTGCAGTCCCAAAATAACTCAACCTCAGAATCAGGTGCTAACAAGAATGATTCTTCAGTTAAAAAACACAAGAGGAAAAAATCGGATATTGGGTAAAATTATTTTTGATTCAGGTAGTGATGAAAAATATACCTTATTATTTATATTTGTGTGTTTTATGTTATTTTTGTTGGGCAACCATCTGTCCATGTTTTCCTGCCAATATAGTTTAGTGGCTTTAATAGGGAGCAGTCATTATTAATGTTGTGAGGTGGGGTGGAAGACATTTGGAGATACGGGTATAATTGTTGAAAAACATCAATGACATGTGTTTTGAATGCCTTTTACTACTAAAAAATGCTAACTACAGTATAGTATTGTAAGTTCAGAGTTCATGCAGTTAAGGGTACATATATATACAGTATCTTTCATCCCATCCCTGGTCATTAATAATGACTGCAACCTTATTGTAATATTCTATCCAGATCATAGATTGTGACCATATTCACATTATGTATATCTGGACTGCCTTCAGTCAAAACGTATTACAGGATATACAACGTGTATAAAAAAAAGTAGACAATTTTGAAACTAATTTGTTCATTTCATGATTTGTTTTATAAATATGGATTGTCTTGGTAGTAAAAATTGGCAGTAAAAATAGCTTGCACGCGAAATTTAAAAGTTTAAAACGCATTTTGAGTTCAGGGGCCAGACATTGTGTTTTATGAATGGTCCAAATATCAGAGATTAGAATGTACTCAATTTTAAGTCCTTTGAATTGCTGCTGAAAATTTCGTTTTTTGGCACCATGCATTTACCTAATTTGTATATTGTTATTGTAAAAATTATAATTTTAACGTTTAAGTTCAAATTCAGGTAAAATCCTTTGCCAAATGCCACCTTACATGTACACTCCAACTCTTAGATGCTTCGCCATCTTCCCGAATACATGCCAATTAAAAAGTGCCCCTGTACGAAAACCCTTAATTCCCTGCGAGAGTTTTGCCTTTTGGTTAATATATACCGTACTTTAAAAGTCGCTGATACATACTACTTTCTAACTCGAGCGATTCGTTGAACAGTAATGAAGACCAGTGGTCAGCTCTACCGATTATTTCATGGTTATTAAAAAGAAAATCAGACAATATACATGTTATATTAGACTATAAGACTCTAATTATTAGAGTCTTACTATAAGACTCTAATTATTAGAGTCTTATTGTGGTGTTAGTTCCGTTATAGTTTTGATCTAGATACCTGCTACCATGATCTGCGCTGTGCGCATCACGTATAATGGCTCAGATAAATGAAAATAAGTCCCAGACATTGCGTGACCTCCGAAATTCTGTATTGAATAACAATTAATAGAAATAATGACGAGCAACTATGCAGAGGACTCTGTAAGCAATATCGGATCTGAAAATTGTTCACGTTTATCATTACGTTCGCGTACTATCGGATCGGCGATCAGCCAAACAAGCAGTTCCAGAAGCAGAAGTAGCCGCACTGGAGCGTCTTTAACGAACTTAAGCAAGGTTTAATCTAGTGCGGGAACGTGACAAGAAACAGCCTTAATTTTTACACTGAACGTAGCAGTTAGTTGTCCCAGCTTGATATGTAAGCGTTGTATACAAGACGTGATAATCTGTATTTTGCCGTTCTAAACAGAGCAAAGGCGACGTCTAAAACTTCCGTGGGATTTTAATTGTAAATTTCTGCTCATTTTCGTGTATTAATATGATTATCAATAGCCATCCAGGCCCGTTCTCGTTGTACTTTCGTCCTACTTATTGAGGTTTCTTAATGCGTTGTCGGCTGTCCTTCCTTTCCTTTCGCATGCCCGGAAATCTAAACCCGCGGAAAGGACCAATGGCAAGTGCCATAAATACCACTTCAAGTATATCAGACGAAGAAAGACTATAGGCTGTGCACGGTTGACGATTTGTTTGCTGGATATTTCTTTGCCTTGGTAGCCATGGAAGTGATACAGTAGAAGAGGAAAGAAGATCCTATACCAACCGTTTGGCGAAAAGATAAACCTACTCAAAATAACATCATCTTTGGACTATTAAAGTGAAAACAAGACAACTTTCATAATGATATTTCGACTCCATTTTAAGGGTTTAAGTTTTCCGCAAATTTGTTGTTTCACACAGTACCGCTGGAACATCTCGGATTCTCGGGCTCCGTGCAATAACCTTTACAGATAACTGTTTTCCTCTGTAAAGTGGCGCGTGCATCTGCGAATACTTAACAGTTATTCTACGAACTCCAGTCGAATATGAGCTGATAGCCGATGAGGCGCGTAGCGCCGAATCGGCTATCGCTCATATTCGACGAGAGTGAGTGGAATAACTGTTTTATTATATACACAAGGTCTGAATTCACAGACTTTGCTTTTCGAATTAATATTTTCAATATTTTTCTATTTTGTTTATGTTTTTAATCTTCGCTCTTTCGGTCGATTATTTCAAAAATATATATTTTTAACCATTTTAAATTTTAAAAATTTATTTGCTAACCTGAAAACTATTTGTGGGAGTCTTTTCATTGTGTTTTTAATCCTGTAAAGGCTATAAAAAGAGACAAGTTGCCGTTTTCTCGTTTGCAAAACATGGTAAATTCATTTTTCTGTGTTGGTGTTGTGTACTCAGGTGAATAATATGTTTGCGATGTTACTCTGAGTGCATATCCACACCGGGCGAGCTTGAAAAATATGCCCGGCCACGGTGGGATTCGAACCTACGACCTTTGGAATACGACCTTTGGAATACTAGCCCAAT